GTTTTTTAAGACGCGCAGTCTGGTAACGGTGCGTGACATTTATAAACGGCTTTCGCGTCAATACAATATAATATTAAACAGTTTAAATACAGTTTTCAGCGCGTGATTTAGTTATGCGTTTCAAAATGCGGTAAATATTATGATGATGATGATAATAGTATTAATAGTAATAATAATAATGTCTGTTCTATATGGTTATTATACTTATAGTCTTACAATATTGGTTTTTGCTTTCTTCGGCCCATCTCAATCATCGTTTTTGAGGTTATTCGATCTGAAACATTTAATAATAATATTTTAAATTCATAAACGCGTAACTACAATATAATACAAAGAAGAACGAGAATAAGAATAACGTAAAGTGTTACGCAGAGCGTGCTATACAGAATACAATTTAACGTTAATTTGTTGGTTAGTCTCGCGATTGTTATTGTCGATTATACTATTTTTTATGGCTGCAGCGAAAAGAAGAAAGAAAGRAAATATTAATGTTATTATTGTCCGTTAAAAATATAATAATATACGTCGTAGGTACCCTCCTCCATCCACCAAGTGAAAATGACAACCATCTTACCGTTTTACGAGCTTCTCCGCCCCTAATTKATCAACAAGTCTGCACGATTTAAGTTGATAAAYGCGCCAAACACTTGTTAAGGTGCACACTCGTTCATTTGCCGGTCTTAAAGTTGAAGTAAACGAGCCGATAAATTTAGAACAGCCGCCTTTTTACGACGTTGGAACATATTATAAAATACTATAATATTRTAAATACAGTCTATTATTGTTTTTCGTGGGTCTAAAATAGAATGGCGATTTTAATTAGAATGAAGACATAATATTAATSGCTGGGCTAATGCATAAATATGTCTCGTCGGAGTCATTATGTATTACCTACACGTCACATGTATAATTTAATATTATATACTAAATACCTAAGTAAATATATTTATCTTACATGACGTATATCGTAAAATGTGTATAGTACTCATAGTATATATCATTCACTTGTCGTCTTGACGTATAGTATGTACACGGTAAACGTAATATAATATATATATTTTTTTGATATCCTGAAATTGCAATTAATACAATATTTGTCCCCTACAACGTATATTAGTCGCAAACTATCCAGGTGTAATTAACAATAAAACAAAATATCTTTTTTTAAGTTTTTAAATAATTTCAGTAATCATTTRTTATAATATAAATGATAATAATAATAAATTTTTATATTAAAATGAAAATCGAATGACAAAAAGAACTAATAAGCTGCACTATAACCTTACATTTTTTTGTGTCTTTAAGCTTTTTTTGCATATTCATCGGTCAGCTATATTATATTTTAGTGTATTACTTATATGAAAAATGTATTTACACTTATTTATCAACTAACTACCACTCATCGAGTCATCCCGGGYATTTTYAATCTATTTTTAAAAGCATCCCATAGTGTGTTTTTCAGTCGACTCCTGCTGAATTTTTGCCATTTTTTTATTTCGTCACTGCATGGTTACAACTCTGAACTCACAGCAATAAATTGTACGTGGCATGCAATTTGGACAAAACACTCGGAGAGATGACACAGAATTCGGAAAGATCTTTCTTAGAGGTGGCATGCAATTCGGACAAAACACTCGGAGAGATGACACAGAATTCGGAAAGATCTTTCTTAGAGGTGGCATGCAATTCGGACAGATTCCTCTTAGAAACGTCGTGGCGTCGTGCAATTATTGCAACGTTTCAATTTGCTTATATTTTTGGCATGCAATATGGATGCGMCGTAGACAATTTATTTGACATGTACCTAAGTAGGCAAAACAAATAACAAATATTTTTAAGTGAATAGTAAATACATTATATTTATGTATAAGTACTGAATATTTATGATACAAATTGTTTTACTAATCAAAATACAACTTCGGCTTCATAGGCCATTGGTATTTTATAATTGTTATTTTTTTTTTTTTTTTAAGAATATTAAAATCATAAGGTTTAATCTCATGRCCACACATTGAAGATGTTAGGGATATTTATTAAAGTTGTTTAGTTTTTTCGGATTCTCATCATTTATTCCATCTGTAGTTATGATACAAATTGTTTTACTAATCAAAATACAACTTCGGCTTCATAGGCCATTAGTATTTTATAATTGTTATTTTTTTTTTTTTTTTAAGAATATTAAAATCATAAGGTTTAATCTCATGVCCACACATTGAAGATGTTAGGGATATTTATTAAAGTTGTTTAGTTTTTTCGGATTCTCATCATTTATTCCATCTGTAGTTCCTGCATATTGTGTGTTTATATCGTTTGACCGTTAGAATTACTTATTACTGCCTTTGCATATAAGTATATTTTTTCATTACCATTAGAAAGCCATCATGTATTATACTATTTTGATGTGTCCAATTTTTAGTCTATTCATTACTGTTTTTTCTTTTATTTTTAATTTAGGATTTTTTTATTCGTGTATCGTGTCTATAATTTTTCTAAGTTTGGATACCTTTTTTTTTCAGTGTGTTTGCCATTAAATTTAAATTTCGTCTTTAATATGATTTTTATGTTTATACACGTTAAAATATCTAATAGATACAGGAGTGGACAAGTAATGTATTTATTTATTACTTTTGTTATCCTTTTTAGCTYCTTTATCTGCTTTTTCGTTATMTTCTACATTATTGTTTTGTGTTTTATTGTTTTTCTTACGCCACACAATATATTTTATAATATTCACAACCTACATATAAACTGCCTGTAATATAGTGGTGCTCCACATTTTTAACGAAMATTTATATCGCACTTTTATCACACAACGTGATAATACGTAAAATACCTTTATACCTCCACCAATGGTCACAATTTTTTTCTTACTCGTTATAAGTTGTAATAGGTTGTAATTTTTTTTTTTTTTTTATTCAACATTTAAAAAAAATGCAATTTAAATTTTTTTCTTAAAAACTCATAGCGTTACGAGTTGGCTACTCCAAATTACCGAAAGATCACCGATATTAAAATTACTTTTAACACGGGATAATACCAATTAAAATATACTGGCGTGGCCACGGATTGATCATAATATTTAGCACTATGGGAATCATTATACATTATAACAGTGTATAATAATGTAATGTTGAACTTTTCAGTGTTCGCGAAGCCACTGACGAACCGATGGACGGAGACGCGACGTACGCGACGAGGAGGAAAACCCTCCGGGTGTCTTGGACGCTGTTGACGTCATCGTTTGCGTTCATCGTGCTACTATGCGCGCTGTGCCTGTTCTTCTTCTTCCACCCGCGGACGTGTCGGCCGATGTTTGGCGGCTCTCGCTTCGGGTCCACCGAAATGATACTGGAAGAGATCCGTGGCTTCGACTATGAGCGGCTGGAGAACGACTACGGTGCCACGGACGTCCGGTTGCCGGCGGGAGTGGTACCGGAATCGTATGACCTGCGGATAATACCGTTCCTGTGGTTAGAAAAGGGCGGAAACTCGACGTTCGACGGCCAGGTTGACATCGTCGTTAACATAACGGTCCCCGTGGACAATGTAACGCTGCACGCCGTCGACTTGAACATGACGGAATGTCTCGTCTCCAGGTAAACGATTTAATGACATTTAGAAAACAATATTGGTAATGATATAGAAGACGTGCGAATCGTAATGTCATGCGGACTGCGGAGTATGTGGGCTGCACTCGGTGTGTGAAAAGGCGGGCAAAATAATATGGAGGTGGATATTGGAGGATGTGCATGACATGGGTAGCATATATTAGACGTCTGGAAGTGGCCCGATCCCACCCAAATGTGGTTAGAACATGGATGGATATAACCATGATGAGTGGAGGTTAGACTTTCACGCGAGTAGCAAATTTATTTCATCGCACTCGATTCACCTATTAATTTTATGATAATATTAATGATTCTATTAASTTATGTCTTATATTATATGATATAATTCTAATTAGAATTTGAAGTATAATCCATGTTTTTCAACCATTATAATTGTCAAATTATATACTCAATGTTAATTGTATATTATGTCTAAATATCTAATAGGTATCCAAAAATGGTACTAAATGAACACGTGATGGCCGAGAGTGATTTCGTTCCTATTCTAGAAACACAACAAGATATTTCTAAACAATTTTTCATAATAAAGTTCAAAGATACACAGCCAGCTGATTATCAGTACAACATACACTTAAAATACACTGGAAAACTTCAAGACAACATGGAAGGGTTTTATAAAAGTTCTTACAAAGTAGGAAACACAACTAGGTTAGACATTTAAATTGTTCTTTATTTTACAAATCATTAACTATTTAAACCACAATTTATTTTTAAGATGGATTGCAGCAACACAATTTCAACCAACTGATGCAAGAAAAGCATTTCCTTGTTTCGACGAGCCTGCTTTAAAAGCTAAATTTACTGTGTCAATTGCAAGACCCCAAGATATGAGTTCTATATCTAATACTGGGCTTAAATATATCGACAATAAATTGCCAATGCTGTAAATTAAAAAACTGCTATTTTAAAAAAAAAAAAATAATAATTTTCAAACATTTTAAAATCAATGTAATTTAATATTCTTACAGATCAGAACCTTTAGCATCTTACGAATGGGACACGTTCGAACAAACGGTGCCCATGTCTACTTATCTAGTGGCGTTCATTATTTCTGATTTTGAATATTTGTCCTCGGAAACTTTTAGAGTATGGGCTAGGAGTGATGTGTTATCGCACACTCACTATGCTCGAGACATCGGACCTAGCATATTAAAGTTTTATGAAGAATTTTTTTCTATTCCTTATCCATTAAAAAAAACCGATCTGGTAGCACTTCCGGATTTTGCCGCTGGAGCCATGGAAAATTGGGGCTTAGTGACGTTTCGGTAAGTATAATTATATAATTATACATATATTCAATGATGTATCTCACATTATCTGTACACACCATTACACGTGTAAATATAAACAAAAAATAAAAAATTTCTTAGAGAGATAGCCATGTTKTACAATGAAGGGGTTTCACCAAATGCTCAGAAAGAACGAGTAGCGACGGTTATTGCTCATGAATTGGCACATCAATGGTTTGGAAATTTAGTGACACCAGATTGGTGGTCTGATCTATGGTTAAACGAAGGTTTTGCAACTTACATTGAATATGTAGGGGTAGACCATGTAAGTATTACATCATCAATAAAATCAACTGATTTACTGTGTTCTATTTTTTTACTAAAATTATTTTCAAGGTGGAGCCCAAGTGGAAAATGGAGGAACAATTTATTTCCAGTGGTATACAGAGCGTATTTTTAATGGATTCGTTGAAATCTACACATCCGATTTCCGCGAGTGTGTCGAGACCGGAGGAAATCAATGAATTGTTTGATCGCATTTCCTATGACAAAGGTAACTTAACAATTTTTATTTTACTTCTGTAACTAGTATTAATAATTATAATTCCTTTAATTTTTCAGGAGCATCTGTAATTCGAATGATGGACCACTTTCTTACACGGCAGGTGTTCCGGAAAGGCTTAACTAAATATTTGAACTCAAAGTAAGATTTATCTAATTATTATGAAGTGTATAAATAGAATACTAATAGCTTCATAATTCATACCAACAAACATTTAACAAATAAATACGAATTTATGTTAGATATATTTGGGTAGTAAAAAGAGAAGTAGGTATATAATATACTCACCCGTTCCTGGTTTTAGAACAGGAATAAAAAAGGTATAATATAATATACTAGAGTTAACCTTTTAAAATTGGACTTTAGTTTAAATCTCCAGTGTGATTTTAAACAAATAAAACTGATTTTATTTTATTTCAGTAAAAACTATACTGAACATTTTAAAACAATTATAATTATTTAAAAAATGTATTATTTTGCTTTAAAAATTCTTCAAATGTTTTCGTTGGTAATTATTAAAATTATTGCAATGTGCCTATACGTACTTACTGTTTCTGGGTTTGAAATATAAGGAATTAAAGCATAACAATAGTTTTTAGATTTCTAAAAATATTTTAAGAATATCTATTATACCTCCTTGATGTCCGTCGGTACGTCCGTTAGTTACCAGTACATACTTTCAATCGTTGAAATATATATATATATATTATATTGTTGATTATCAATTATTTATTGCCAGTACATAATAATGATTGTTGCAATACATATTGTTGATTTTTGTATATTTAGTATTAGTAGTTAATGTTAATAAATTGTAGGTTTATGAAATAATAAATAATGTTGCATTACAATAAGTTTAGAAACCGAGAATTTAGTACTTACGTTCGCAGAGTGAGCTTTCCTAACTTGTTTATATAACTAGAAGGGAATTTGCTAAAACTAATTAATATATTGAAAATAATAAAAATTTACAAAAAATAGTACCAATTGTTTAAAAACGAATACAATTTTAAAAACCATTATTATAACACTTATAAAATTTATTTAGTATGTGATAATAATATCATTATTTTTCAAACATTTTTTAAATTAAATTACTAATTTCCATAGAATTAATTGAATCAAAGAAAATAAAATCATTTCAACTCATTCGCGTAAATTTTCATTTAACTCGATTCTAGTTTAATTTATTATTAATACCTTTATAAATATTATTACCTATCAATAACATTAATATATAAATTATTTGATTCATTCAATATGGCATTTTTATTGCCGATAGTTAAAAGAATATCAGAGAATGGCTATTGTTATATTAATTTAAGGTTTTATTTTTTAATGCTCTATGCAGCTTAATCTAATATTTTTCTAGTAACTTTCATATTATTGTTAAATAAAATAATTAATTAACCATCATTATTATATGAGGAATAATAATAATAATAAGGAACGACCTTTTATTATCAATAGATTCAATACCAGTTTTTTTATGTTAAATATAATGTTGTTTTAGTTGGTTAGTAGAGGTTTTTAATTTTTTCTGTTTAATTTTATCAACTAATAATATTAAGTCAACATCACAGTACTTTAAAATATTATGTTAATCGTAGAAAATAATAATTATTGATATTATTAAAATCTATATTTTGTTCAGTATTATTTTGTTTACCAAACTCTACATTATTTTCATAGGTATTAATAATAAATAATAATATCAATACTAAAAGCTTAACTAAACTTAAAAATGACATCAGTTTTCATAATGAAAAATTTCACGATCTAAATGTTACTAATATTTTTAGCAAAAATATGATCAAGTCTCTAAATCTTTAAATTTTTAAGATTATTAGTTTAGTTGTCGAATTCCGATACATGATATGCAATTATAAGGAGCAAAAATGTTTAAATAAACTAACAAGACTGACAGTTTAATCTTGGACATTTTTATTTATTAAATTCCATTTTAATATAAAATGTATTCATTTATTTTTTATTTTGATATCTTATAGAGCATACAACAACGCGTACCATGATGATTTGTGGAATGCTTTGACTGAACAGGCGCAACTCGATCGCGTAATGGACAAAACGTTAACTGTAAAAGAAGTCATGGAAACATGGATACTACAACCAGGATTTCCAGTCGTAAATGTTACACGGAATTATGAAGAGGATACATTAATTGTTTCACAGGTGCCTATTTTACTCATAATTTATCTGTTCACTTAACATTTAAGGTGAACAATATTTAACTTATTTAAGAATCTCAATCCATAGAACAAAATACACAATGCACATATTAGTATGATATAATATTGTTAAAATAAGTAATTTTATATTATGATAAAAATATTTGTTTCACTTTCTTAATATATAAAAATTAATATCCACAAATGGTTAAAGTACCACTTTAAATAATTTAAAAAAACTTATAYGAGCCAAATTATTAAATGCTGAAAATTTGTTGAGTTTAAACTGTTTAAAGCCAACATCTACTAATAATTAAATTTAGCCCAATACTTTTACAAAATATAAAAATTCAATAGTACCTATATAGTATTATCATATCTCGTAATACTTGTTTTATCTACTGACTATACGTATAACTTCTCTTTTCATTTCTTTCAAAAGTCAACGTATATCGTTCGGTTACAACAAAATGCTCAAAGTTATTCGTAAACTAAACCAGTAAGGCAGTAAACTATTAAAATTTAAAATGTATTRTTATACCTACCTTTTATCATTTTCCGTGTTGTAAGCATAAGTGTAATTTATATGGTAAGCCTTCTTAAAATTTTTAATTATCCCCTCCCCCAAAGTTTTTAAGTTTATTCAATATTATTACAGTAGGGCTTTTAAGTACCTAATTATTGTCAAACGTTGAATAATAACGTTTTGTCAAAGGCTGATAAGAAAATTAAAATTGAAAATCGCCTAGCTGTTACTGTGAAAGCGTGAAAATATAATATACACAAATACATTTTTAAATTAATGTTTATAGGTACTTATTGTTTTTGTCCTATAGGTTATAGATGTACTAGCTATTTATACTAAAMATTTTATGTTTATTTAATACGTGGTTTATGTTTCAGAGTCGTTTTCTTCTACACCACGACACTAAAAACGCATATAAAACTGATCAATCAAATAATCTTTGGTGGATTCCACTTACGTTCACGACGTCGTCAAAACTGGATTTTACTGTGACAAAACCAAGTTATTGGTTAAAACCTGAAGACTTCATGATGATAACTGAAACAGGGATATATCCGGATGATTGGGTGTTATTCAACATAAACGAAACTGGATTTTATAGAGTGAACTATGATTCAAAAAATTGGAACATGTTGATCGAATACTTGACCGATCCAGAAATGTATTCTAATATTGGTAAGCATAATAGAAAGTGTTTATTTTGTCTTTTCAAATACCAAGATAATGAYMGCAGAATTTTTTTATTAATTCCAGGAACAATTAACAGAGCACAGTTGATAGATGACGCAATGTCGTTATCAAGAGCTGGATATTTGAGTTATCAAACTTCTCTCGATTTAACTAAATATCTTTACCACGAGACTGAGTATGTTCCGTGGAAATCAGCGTATAGATCTTTCACCTATTTACATCAAATGCTCATTAAAACATCCATTTACGACAAATTAAAAGTAAATTTAAAAAAATGKTGTTACTATATACAGAATGATTCACCAAGCATGCTCATCCCCTTTTAACTAATTAAGAAAGTGTACTGCGGTGATACAAACTTCTGTTTTTCAAATGAGACCTCCTCTTTTTTATTGTAAATTATTAAGTGGATATTTTTTTTTGAAAATTTTTATGTACTCAATTCAAATTGTAGATGAGTTATTTCTCAATTATTAGAACGTTTTTCTAAGAATACTACGTAGTTCTAAAAAAATTAGTTTTACAAAAATATAAAATATTTGTATAATATTGGATCAAGTATTACTAATACTTGGATCATATTATTTACAAATTATTGATGTTGATAAAATAATAAATAAAATACATATAATACATATAAAAAGGGGGAGTTCTTGTTTAAAAAATAGAAGTTTTAGTCACCACAATACACTCCTTAAGTACTACAAAAAATTCAAGAGTGTAAAAAATTGGCCTTTGAATATACTTGAAAATTCCAAAAATCAGAATTTGAGTAATTTCAAAAGGATTATTAAAGGTTAAAAATGGGAGTAAATCATAACTCATCATAAGTCATACTACCTATAAGCTCGTAACCAAATTACCACGCAATCATTAATAAAATTTAATACCACATGTATAATATATATTATGATGTGGTATTAATATTTTTAATATAATGCGTTTATAATTTTTATATCATTAATATTGTACTAACATGCATTCGAAAACTTTCTAAATTTGTTTTTCATTTGTTTTCAGGCATACGTGTTACACTTGATATCCCCAATGTATAAAATAACCGGGTTTGCGGATAATCCGAGAGACGATCAATTGGTTATTTACAAAAGATCCAACTTGTTATCGTGCGCCTGCGAGTTAGGACATACTGGCTGTGTTCGAAACGCAGTGGCTCAGTTTCAAAATTGGAAATCAAATCCTCAACCGGAAAAGAACAATCCGTAAAGAATTTATTTCTTTTGAATTATATATACATATATATTATATATGTATATTACGTTTTAGTTATGATTTGCCAATCGATTTTGATAGACTGCGTTATGCATATTATGTTATTAGTTAATATATTAATTAGTTTATATTTTTTTTATCTTTTATAGGATTTCACCAAATCTAAAATCAATAATTTACTGTACCGCCATCAGTTACGGAAGCGAAGAAGAATGGGATTTCGCCTGGAAAATGTATAAAATGACTACGGTAGCTTCTGAAAAAGATTTATTGCTGGACGCTTTGGGCTGTAGCAGAGAAACGTGGATTTTAGCCAGGTAATTTATGTTCAACTGACAAATTTATAACAGACGCGTGCCGTGCGCTCGCATTAATATCGACGTATAGTACAGTGTAACTGCTTAATATTTTATACCTATAGGTACCTATATCGTATAGTCACAAAAAAAAGTTGTAAAAAAAAAAACTCAACATAATTTTGTAATCTATATTATTCTACCGTCGTGAATTAGCATTGCCCGGCTGTCTGTAATGAATTCTCAAAATATTACTAATATTAAATGATATCGTTCACTTTTATCATGGATAAATGTTTTTGGGCTGGTACTTGGTAGTACCACTGTACCAGCCTGGTACAACTTATTTTTTCTAATCGATTTTCACGAGGTCTATATATTATAGTAACGCTTTGATGATTATTGCCACAGAAACGCAAATCCAGAATATAAAAAAAAAAATAACCATAGAACACTGCTTGATACTTTTCCTCCACAGAGAAAATCTACACTGGTGAATAACTAGGGCTAAAATGTTATGTAGGGGGCCGAGGGGGGCTATGACCTCCATCTGATATTACATGAAAAGTAACCTCCAGGGGGGGGGAGGGGTTATTTATGCATTTGAAAATATGAAACAAATTATACAAAAAAACAATTATTTATTTTTCACAATAATGATACGTTTTCTGTATATATTATATAGTACAGTACATAGTACATACTGTATAAATAACTGTTAAATTATGCATAATAATTGTACCAATGTACCGACATAACAATTGTTTCCTTGAAAACAAGTATAGACATAACCACATATCTAATGATATTTACCATATATAATTATTAGCATATAGGTAGGTAATATAAAATTATAAAATAATATAAAAAAAAAATAAGAAGAAGAAGAAGAAGAATTGTTGAATTAAAATATAAGGTTTTAAGATTTATTAATATTTTAGGAAAAAGTTGGATAATTTTTTTGGGGGGGAGAGGACTATTACAAGTTTTGGGTATTTAAGCCTCTTCAGACCCCCTATAGTTACGCTTATGAAAATCTTTAAATCATAATCATAAATATAGTTTTGTTCATAAGTATGATCATGAAAACTATTTAAAAACGAGTTAAAAATGTCTTGTTTCAGATTTCTCAGTTATGCTCTGCAAAACAATTCTTCTATTAGAAATCAAGACATTAGCAAAGTATTTTACGCTTTGACCAATAAAGTGGCTGGGCAAGAAGTGGCTTGGAATTATGTACGTGACAACTGGCGCAATCTCAAATCGACGTAAGTAACGCTGCAATATATTATTATTATTGTTATTAATACTTATTTGGTCTTAACGATAAAAATTAACACGTTGACGGACACGGCTACTAAAGCAGTGAGAGCTTTTAGAGATTTTTCAGAATATTTTTGTTTTTGCCCGAATGTGTTACTTGTTATAGTCGATTAGTCAAAATAAGAAACTAGATAATTTTCAATGTAGTGAAGCCATAAGAAACACAACTGCTAACCTGACTTTTGAATAATATATATTAAAAGGATGCCAATGGCGCATGGAGCCGTGGAGATATTTTGAAAGCATATGAAATAAAAAATTAAAAAAGGTTAACCAAACCTCCACCCACCCATTTTTGTAAAGAAAATATTCTTGATGCACTCCAAAGTCAAGAGCGTCCTTTTACTACTGATTGATATAGCAGCTGTCATCATGGCCGGAAGTTTCATTTTTGGACTAACAGGATATTTTGAAAATGGCTCCTAGACGAAAAAACCGTTAAAGGTCATCGCGTCAAACGGTAAAAGAAAAAGTGCTCGAGTGAAAAAATATACGGAGTGGGGGGCCACCGAGAAATTCCTGGCTTCCCGAATGGGCCTATCCAACCATGACAGTTATCGTCGTCATATTGTGACTTATACCTATTTTATTGTGACCGCTATGGTAGTAGTGATGAACTGATGACTGTCGGTCAACGTGTTATTTAACCACGTTGATTATATTATTAAACTTATGTATACACATCCGTTTTTAGTTTTGCCGCTGGT